AAAACCTTTGCAGCATCTCATGGTCATGATCAAAATTCAGGCACTTGATAATTGTCAGGCAATTATGATGGTTGCACTGTTCTGGGATTACATGATTGCCATTTGCCATTTCTGACAATCAAAGTCAATGGGGGAAGCCAAATTTGTAACCAAATGATTCACTTAACAACCATGGCAAAAGAAGTTGTAAAATGGGGTGCGACTTACTTAACAACTGCCTTGCATAGCAGTGGAAATGTTGGGCTCAGTTGTGGTAATAAGTCAAGGACTACCTGTATGTGTTTTACACTGAACGGTAGTTTAATTTTTTATAACCAGTTATTAGATCATTGAAGGTGTGATGGACAACATCCCTTCTGCCATATTCCGTGTTAGCTGCAACTTCTAAATTATCTTCAAGACCAGACTCACATAGAATGGATTGTAGTCATTCCTATGATGTTGAAGAAAGGTAAACGACAGACTCTTGGGAATAAGCCAGACTTGATCAAGAAGCTGTTGGATTAGGCATAGTTGTCCATCTCCACGGTGTGTCTGCCACTTAAAACCTGATTAATACAGGTAATCCAAGGCTGTGCAGTAGCAACTTTGGGAGAAGAACAGTTCCATTTAGATTAGAAATTTATCTAATTTTCACATCTAGAAGTCACAATCTATGCAGCTTTCTAGTTCTAGGCAGCAAAAAAAAAAAAAAATAAGGTATTTCCCAGATACCTTCCAGTTCTGTATTGTGGTTAACTGAACTATAACACAGATGAATAAGTAAGAAAGGACAACAGAGGGTTGAGAAGCTGTGGCAAGGAGGTGAACAAATAGAAAAAGTAGGGGAGAATTAAAAAAGGTAATATTTACTGACCCACTCCAATTCAGATGAGAGGAGATTAAATTGATTTGAGTATTTTTCTTTGCTTAAAATTGGCTGGTAAGTGAATGAATAACAGAATAACAGAGTTGGAAGGAACCTTGGAGGTCTTCTAGTAACCCTCTGCTTAGTAGGAAGCCCTATACCATTTCAGACAAATGGTTGTCCAATCTTTCTTAAAAGCTTCCAGTGTTGGGACATTCACAAGTTCTGGAGGCAAGTTGTTTCACTGATTAATTGTTCTGACTGTCAGGAAATTTCTTCTTAGTTCTAGGTTGCTTCTCTCTTTGGTTAAAGGAAATATACTTTTTTTCAAGACTCCTGGGGAGTGGGGCCTTTCATACAGGATATGGTTCTAACTCCTGTTGACTTTGGCAGGGAAAGGGATTTATGTGAAAATCTATGGAATAATGTACTCCATAAACTTCCATTGTACATCCTCTGAGCCAAAAATATCTACTTTAAAATTGATGAGAGAGAGAGAGAATTACATCCCCCTCCCTAGAAACAAAAAACCCTATTACCATTTTCAGGTTGCAGACAAAATAGAGGTTGGCTTGATTTAAGGCACTGACATTACATTGACATCTATGGTATCTGAGGCACCATATCACAAGAATACAGTAGTGATTATAAATAAAGTATTTAATTCTTCAGCTAATTTGACTAAAGTATATCAGTTCTATATCTAGTTTCCTAGGGGCAATTTAATGTATTGGTGGCTCATGTTAATTTACAAGACCTATCCAATTTTTTTTAATGTACTGAAATAAACCTTTATTCTCTATTCTCAATTGAGTCCAAACATGTGTTATGGTTAGTCACATTCTTTCCAACACTTCTCTCATGTTCCACAATTTTCTTCCCTACAAAAGTTTTTCACAAAGCTATTGCCACCTCAGGCCTCAGTGGACTATATCAGTGATGGCGAACCTTTTAGAGACTGACTGCCCAAACTGCTACCCAAAACCCACTTATGCATCGTTGAATGCCGGGTGCGTGTGGTCCATTAGCTGGGTGTGGCCAATTGGGTGGGCGTGTCCCATTGGGTGGGCCTGGCTGCGGTGGTAACGGCAGACTTGGTGGGACTAAAAAGTTCAGTCAATTAATTCCAACTTTGCAAGACTTTTTTTCCCCCGCAAGAAGCTGAAATTGACTGATTGAACCTTTTTTTTTTTTTTTTTTTGTATATGGCAGCGGAGGCCTAAAGAGAAAAGGTTTTATAAAACCCAGCTGAAGGCCTAGGACTGGGGCAACAGCATGCGTGCCCACAGAGAGGGCTCTGAGTGCTGCCTCTGGCACCCGTACCATAGGTTCGCCACCACTGGACTATATGAAGGATTTTGATTGTTTTTAACCACCATGCACATAATTTTTCATTTGTTTACATTCTTCTATCCCATTTGAAAAGAGATTACAGTAACTCTTCACTGTCCCTTTTTGTTACTGCACCTTTTAATTAGACTTGGTCATTCCTAACTTCAGACGATTTACATATAGTTTAAAAAGTGCATGATTTTCCAAAAATCTCACTGTTTATATTCTGTCATTATGAGGGTTGTCATTTATTTATATTTCTTTTTGTTTAATGGATGTTGTCCTGAAAGAGGACTCTCCTCTTGAACCTGCCCTCTAAGGTGACTTTGATGATAAAATTGTAACAAAACATTTGAAGATAAACAGTGACTGTGTTTTTACAACAGACTAAATCTTATTTTCATTTTGCTTATAATGTTTTCTGAAGTCAAACCATTTATGAGGTTGTGGTTAAGGAGATGTACCTTACCAAATGTATAACTAGGGCTTCTTTTCCTAACGTGTTTTACCCATGATATAGCAAAGATACAAATGAATAATAAATAGCCTTTGCCACTAGAGAGAAAATGAAAAATGTCCATTAGACTACAAGTCATTTTGCACAATTTAGAAAGTTTTTAATTGATAATGAAATCATAACATGCAGTTTATTGTATATTGCTGGATATATTTGACAGTATGTTAATTATAAAATATTTAAGTGAAGGATGACCTGCTACAGATAGCAGGAACACTTCCATAAATAACACAGCTTACAAATTATTTCTTATGGCTGGTTAATGATCAAATAACTCAATGCAGGATTACTAGAAGACCTCCAAGGTCCCTTCCAGCTCTGTTCTGTTCCGTTCCGTTCCATCCCATTCCATTCTATTCTAAACTAATATTTTAGCCATAATGTATTATTTTGGAACAGATAATATTTCAATCCTTGGAAATATTGATTTTGAATTTTGGGTGTAGCTACCTGGTTCTTTTAAAAAAAGTATTACGGCACTTTCTATGAATGTATTTAAGGTTTCTAGGGTTAACCAATAATTTGATCCAGCAACGTAACTGCTTAAGCATAATTCCTGTGTCACGTTGGCTCCCAGTCTCCAGTACCATCTATTATTAGAAGTGTAGAAGTGAATATGTTCTGTGGACCTACATAGCCTGCTAGGCTGGATAATGCCAACTGCTAGCCTTTGAAAGGGGCGTGTTTTGCTTTAATCTGCTTCTGTGACATTAGTATGAATTTCTGGTTGAAAAAAATAAACCTTTCTATAGGAAATCACATTTGCATTTCTTACAGAAGGTTTTTCTCTCAGAAATTCTATAGGAACAGGCATTCATTTGTCTGAAAGATTCTGCTCTGCCTCATAAAATTATAATAATATGTTGGAATAGAAGCAGGGTCATGGAAAAATCAGTATTTCCCAGGCCAGGCTATAGAATGGCTGTTAAGGAGATAAAATGAGGGGAAGTAAGTTCTGCTTACAAGAAATAATAGAACTCCTATTCTGCTTTACTGAGACATCACCTGAAGCGCTAGCTGTGCACAAAGGGTTTAGAGCAGTGGTTCTCAACCTTTCTAATGTCGTGACCCCATAATACAGTTCCCCATGTTGTGGTGACCCCCCAAGTGGGTATGGTCACCAATAAGAGGGAGTAGGACAGCTAGGGAAAAGGGAAAAAAATGGCGGACAGCATGGTTTGGCGACCCCCATGAAATGGTCGTTTGACCCCAAATGGGGTCCCGACCCACAGGTTGAGAACCACTGGTTTAGAGAAAGAATATTGATCTGTGAAATGTATTCAGAAGAGGTAACATTAAGGCAGCGAGAAACTTGCAGATCAAAACATATAATAAAATACAAGAAATTGGGCATGTGTAATTAAGAAATGTAATATAACAATGGACTAGCATTCTGTTACTATATAGGCTGGGGCATGAATGTATTCAGAATTATGAAAAAAGTTTGGCTAAGTATTAGAAGGAAATTTCTAAAGGTACAAGCTCTTTGAAGAAAAGGCAAATGGATTCTTTTTCATTAGCAATTTTTCATCAGAGATGAACTATAATAAACTATGATTTTATAGGCCCTCTCTATCACTTTCTGATGAAAGTGACAGAGGGGGGCTATAAAAATCAAAGTTTATTATTACAGTATTGGCATGATATTAGAATAGATTGTCTCCCCACAAGTCTAGCATTCTCTCATCATTATTGTCTGCCTGGTAAGGGCTGCTGGGAATTACAGGCCAGTATACTGAGGAAGGCTGAATTAGATCTCTGAGGCCTTGTCAGGTCTGTAGTAATCCTAACATCAGTCAGTTAAATTGACTTTTCTTTCCAGGCACATTAACGATCCATAAGGTCTTGCTATGTGGATACATGTTTGATCTATTTGAATCTAGATTTGTGTTTTATTAGACAAATAAATATCTGAAAATATTATTCTTCGGTGCATCAAAGGATTCAAGGAACATTGTTTAATTCTGAATAGTTTCAACTGTGGTTTGCTTTGTTTATATTAACTGCAGATAGTTTGTTAAAAGACACATAAATTAAATACAAACTTTCATAGTAACACAGTTTAAATATTTGTATAAATATACAAAGCATGCCTAAGACAGAACTCTATAAATCCACAAAAGCAAAACAGTTGAGCTTTAGGTTAAAGCTGACATTATGTGATTCAACACAATGGACTAAGATTATGGGACTACAATTCCATTTGAGAATCTTTTTTCTTTGATAAATGTATTTAGCCTATAGCTAAATTAACTCTAACTCTCTCTAATGGCAGTTTAATGGCAGATACTTTTATCTCCACAGATTTGAAAGAACAATACATCATGGGAGCTTTTCTAGACAAGCCAAAGATGGAGAAGCACAATGCCCAAGGGCAGGGCAATGGACTACGCTATGGGTTAAGTAGCATGCAAGGTTGGCGAGTTGAGATGGAAGATGCACATACAGCTGTGATTGGCCTGCCAAATGGACTTGATGGATGGTCTTTTTTTGCTGTGTATGATGGACATGCTGGATCCCAAGTTGCCAAATACTGCTGTGAGCATTTGTTAGATCACATCACAAGCAATCATGATTTTAAAGGATGTGGTGCTTCACCATCTGTGGAAAGTGTAAAGACTGGAATCAGAACAGGTTTTCTGCAGATTGATGAACAAATGAGGTTACTATCAGAAAAAAAACATGGTGCAGACAGAAGCGGGTCAACAGCCGTGGGAGTCTTGATTTCTCCCCAACACACTTATTTCATCAACTGTGGAGATTCTAGAGGTTTACTTTGTAGAAACACAAAGGTTTATTTCTTTACACAGGATCATAAACCAAATAATCCACTGGAGAAGGAACGTATACAAAATGCAGGTGGTTCAGTAATGATTCAGCGTGTGAATGGATCTCTGGCTGTATCTAGAGCACTTGGGGACTTTGATTACAAATGTGTTCATGGGAAAGGCCCCACAGAGCAGCTTGTCTCTCCAGAACCTGAAGTATACGAAATTGAGAGATCAGAAGAAGAGGATCAGTTCATCATATTGGCTTGTGATGGTATCTGGGATGTTATGGGAAATGAAGAGCTGTGTGAATTTGTCAGATCAAGGCTTGAAGTCACTGATGATCTCGAAAGAGTTTGTAATGAGATAGTTGACACCTGCTTGTACAAGGTAGCCAGAAATTCTGAAGGAATTTATTGCATTAGAAGTTTTACATGGGGGGTAAAAATCTATATATGCTTTATATCAGGGCTTTTCAACCTTTTCACCCATTGTACCACTTTCAGGATATGGCAATATCCGAGTACCACCCGTCGCCTAGCAAGTTTGCTTAGTGACTGTTCGAAGTTACAATGACACTGAAAAAGTGCCCCCCAAGCCACAGCCGAGCAAGACACCTGCCTGCCCGCCCAGCTGCGCTTTTTCTCCTGTCCGAGGTTTTCATTGGTGTGAGCATTTCTGTTGAGGATTGGCAGCGGGGGTGGAGTGGGGGGTGTTTGGTTTTTATTCCCCCCATCTGCTGGGTGGTTGCAGCAGATTTTGGTCACTTCACATGACCCTGGGACACTGTGACCGTCATAAATATGAATCAGTTGCCAAGCATCTGAATGTAAATCACAAGACGCTGGAGATGCTGCAACATTCCGGCTGATTGGTGCTTCTTCAGGGCTCAGCTGGCACCAGGATCAGTGCCGAGCTCCAGCTGGAGCCTGGCGCTGATCCTGGCCCTTCCGCTGAGCCCTGACAGCCCTGCAGCTCCAGCCATCTCTCGCTCAGGCTTGTGCGGTACTGCCACCGGTTCAACTCATTCCCCTCCCCTGCTACCACTTTTCTAGGATGGTCGCGTACCATCTGCCAGGTGCCAATGTACCACAGGTGGTACCCGTACCACTGGTTGAAAAGCCTTGCTTTATATAATCTTGGAAAGAGTTTCTTTATGGCACATGTGGAATTTAGAAAAGTGTATTTTGCCAGCTAATACTTGCTCTGGTTATTTTTATTCTATGTTATTGATTAAGACCATACAATGCTGATAATGTGTATGCTTAAAATTACTTTTACTTTTGCTAATATATTGCTGAATTTGCATTGTATTTTGTATATTTTTATAATGTAGAAAAATGTGGGTAGTTGATTTATAGAGCCAATTTGAGCATTACTTTTCATTTTATTTTGTAATATATCACAGCACTTTTTAAAAAAAAATGGTGCAAAGGTCTTGTTTCTATGATATTTCAGTCCATTTACTATTTTTTTTACTCTAACAGCCTTGGGAAACTACAACTTTTAGGCTGAGGATATATAATTTCTATATTGGGCTGAATTTCACTATTTGCTTTGTTTTTTTAGTTATTTTTTTTTAAATTATCTATAAGATACATGTTGGAGACTTTGAATTGAAACTCTTAAACCAGCCTTTTTCTAATTATTAAGCCAGTTAGAAACAAGTTAATAAATTACCTTAATAATCTTAAGTTTAAAAATCAGATAGAAAGGTATATTTATATTCTCCTAACTGTAAGTTAGGTTGAAATGAATTTTTACGTGAAATCAAATACCATAGAAGCGTTTTCTTTCATAGCTTAATCGAACTACCCTTTTCTTCCATGCTATTAGCATGAAGATACAATTGATAAAACTTACAAATAATGTGCTTGGAAATGTTAAAAAAATAACTGAAATGTCTTTTTCCTTCCCTTTTCAGGGTAGCCGAGACAACATGAGTGTGATACTGATTTGTTTTCCAAATGCACCAAAGGTATTACCAGATGCAGTGAAGAGAGAGACAGAGCTGGACAAGTTCCTGGAAAGCAGAGTAGAAGGTGGCTCTTTAAGAAAAAAATAAGTAATTTAATTTTAAACAAAACCTGAACAGCCAAGTTATAAATATTTGGGGTTTTTTTTAATTAAATCCTTAAGTGCCATGGGATATGTATAACACATATCACCTAAAGGTAATTTTGTTGCCTTTTGATACATGTGTAGGTTTATCCTATTAAAATATGTGTCCTTGACTGTTCTGTTTACAGTAGAGAAAAACATAGATACAATGTTTATGCCAGAACCATTACTAGCAATAAATTTATGTTCCAAACAATTTCTAGTTGATGATATTGAAGAGCATTTAATAGAATTACATTTAACAGAATACTCATTAAATATATGTATCGGTATCTGTTACAGCTGTGTAATAATTTCAAGACAGCATAGTCATAGTCTCGTAACTTGATATTAATATAATTTTATACAATAGAATTCAAAACCTATTTTGATTTAAATCTTATTTTGATTTAAAGCATGCATTAAAATGTGCATACCAATCTCTTATATAGCGCCTTGGAATATGTGCAGTGCAATCCTGTGCTTATATACATGGATGTTAAGTATGTTCACAAGTAAGCTTTTATTCATGTTACTAGTTGTAAGGCACACTAATATGGACAAATATGCATTTCTCAAAAAAATGAACAGACCATGAAATTAGATTTAGTCAGAATTCATCAGACCTTTAAAATAGATATAATGATCAAATTGTATTATGAATGTAAATTGAAGGTGATTTAATTATATCTTAAGGCCATGGAATTATGAGTATGAGTAGTAGGAAATTTTATCTGCTTTATTGAGTTAAATATCTTATGCATTTTTTATGTTATAAAAGCTAACTGTGTCAGTTAGCTATCTATTAATGTTTGAGATCTTAAAATTCTCTCAGTGAAACACCAATGAGTCAGTGTGCTGCAGTGGCTAGGAGACTAAGGTAGAAATCAGGAAACCTATGGTTCCTGTCTCATTTTTACAATTACCTCATTTAGATGGCTCAGGCAAAACACGCTTTCTTGAATCTCTCCCATTTTCAAGAGGGGAACATAATACTGACATACCCGACATAAAGATTAAGATAATTAAGATATAGATAATTAAGATTAAGATAATTATGAAATACTTTAAACCCCTGAAAACACCATATGGTAGTATTAAATGTAAAATTCAAAGCAGATTAATGTTCCACTAAAGGAACTTCAGATAGTGATTGCTAATACATAATTTTTTATACAGAATCACAGTCTTTGCTTATACAATATATTGCAAGCATAGTAAGTGAATGTAATTAATAAAAATGGAAAGAAGCATTATATAGTGACAACCTAGTGAAGCTGTGTCTTAAATAAAGTCTATATATTATCTGAATAATGGGGGATAACCAGACATTATGTAGTTTTCTTTACGTTGAGATAAAATTATGTTCAATGTCTGCAGTCCATGAGTTCCCCATCATTTAAACCTCCTCCTTTTTTCCTAAAAGAAAATTTCTCCTTAAGTTTAAAGCAGGGGTCACCAACCCCCAGACCACGGCCCACTACATGGCCATCGCCTATTCAAAACCGGACCCACACGAGCAGCCAGCCGGCGTGCTCACATGTAGCGCTACTTACTCAAGCAGCAGGCATGCACACGTGCAGACGTGCACATAGCTCAGCTTGCACAAGTTGACTGCCCGTGCATGTGCGTGCGTACTGGTTCTCCACTCATGCAAGTTGAACTGCACTTCTGCACCAGCCTGCTGCTCACACAGCCTGTTGCCCTTTCCCCTCCTGCTGGGTCGCCAAGCTACAGAAGTTGGAGACCACTGGTGTACTTAAAACAATAGGATTTAGTTATGATTCAGGTAGTAAATTGCTTTGGTATGTGTTAGGGTGAACTTTGTTTGCTTTGTCCTTCCTCTTACAGAACCTCATCTGCGTTATCTCATTCTCTCTCTTTCTCTCTCTCTCTCTCTCTCTCTCTCTCCTCTCCCTCTCTCTGAGAGAGAGAGAGAGAGAGAGAGAGAGAGAGAGAGAGAGAGAGATCAGAAAGACAATCCAAGCATTTGCAGTGTTTTGAAGTTTAGTCTTCCACAAAGCATCCAATTACTCTGAACTTGTTCTGAGTTCAAAAGTAGTTTGATGGGTTTTGAAAAGGATAACTGCCAAAGAAAACTGTGAATTACAGGCAGTGTTGCCTGGTTTCTAACTTCAGGAATCTTGAAGGGCAATTTAGATTATAGTATAATCGTTTTTGAACTGGGAACAGTTAAAAATTTAAATATGTACTAAACTGATGTATCGACCCCTCTTGGTCTGTTAAAAAACATTATTTTGGTCAATAGCTATGTTCTCTTTTGCACAATTCTTGGAAATATATACTGTATACTGTATGGTACAAGAAATGATAAAGCTGCTGACTTATCCAGTTATATGCTTAATATACTATTTCTATTAAGATTCCAGAACTACAACTTTAAAAGGCGAACATTAAAATTTAAAATTACCACATTTAACATGCACATCCACCCACGCGTGTTTGTATGCTCTGATTGAAATAAAATTGAAGCTTTTAACATTTAATAAGAAGAAAATGAGCAATAAGATTAGATGTAGTTTTTTTCAGGATGACCAAACTTCAAAAAAAAAAGTTAACTTTAGGATTCATATTTGTTTATTTTTCTGAAAAGTCTGCTTTGTTGACTGAGTTACACTACTATAATATATAATATATTATAAATTATGCCTTTAGCTGTGTTCTGATCAATTTTATATTTATTTTGAATACATTTAATTGTTATGTAACAAACTATTTATGACACTCACATTTTAATACTAAGTGCAGTTCCTTAAAATTGTATTTCAAAATGTTCTTCTAATATTATAGATATTAGGACTACCCTTATAAAATTAAGTCCCTCAAACACAACTGAGATTGCAGTCCTCAAAGTGCTTTCCTCAGTGTAAATTTTATTTCAGTTTAGTGGGATTCTCAGGTGTAATATTTCACAGGTTACACCGGAAAATTTCACTATTTAAATATGTGTTTGTTTCATAGATAGTTATTGATTTAAGTATGCTGTAATACCCATCTTCAGTAAAACACATATATTTATATAGAGAGATTTCCTCCCTCCAAGAAAAAGATAAAGATTTCTGGATACCTATTCTTCCTATTCTCTCACATTTGTAAAAAATATAGTGTTTACCAAGCCTTTTAAAACTACAGTGCCCATTTAGATACGGTAGTGTGAACTGTACTTCCAAGCTCCATTTGTCCTTCAGTGATCTTTTTGTACCACATTTGGGAAAGTATTTTAAGTTAACAAAAAGCAGCTGCAAGGTACTATAATACAAAGGCCAATAAATTGGTTACATTTATGCCATAAATTATTTGTGATTGTTCATATTTCTATTTAGTTCAAATGTATTTTAATTGAGAATGTATTTCAAATGTACTATAGCTTTAGGTTCTGGAACTGTGTAGTTTAGGTAAAATTGAAATCCCTTTATTTTTGTACAAAAGATAACATAGCATTAGAATGGTGTAGCCAATACCAGATGTTCACAATTCACAATAAAAATACTTTATAAAACAATGTTGAGATCTTTGTTCTTTATTTTGTGTTCAGTAGCAGAAATTTTTGTTTTAAGTAGTTGGTGAAATTAAAATACTGGCCCTACAGTTTCACCTTTAAAATATTCAGGTAATCCTTGAGTTACAACCACAATTGAGCCCAAAATTTCCTTGCTAAACAAGACAGTTCTGGAGTGAGTTTTGCCTCATTTTATGTTCTTTCTTGCCACAGTTATTAAGTTAATCACGGCAGTTATTAAGTTAGTAACACATTTGTAAATTGAATCTGGCTTCCCCATTGACTTTGCTTGTCAGAAGGTCACAAAAGGTGATCACATGACCCCGGGACACTGCAACAGTCATAAAGATGAGTCAGTTGGCAAGTGGCAGAATTTTGATTACATGACCATGGGATGCTGAAATGGTCATACGTGTGAAAGACGGTCATAAATCACTTTTCAGTGCCATTATAATTTCAGATACTAAATCAGGGGTGTCAAACTGCTGGCCCATGGGCCGGATGCGTCATCACAAAACCGCGCCCACCCCATTGCTGGCAATGGGAAAAAAGTTCCGATAGGTAGTGCAACATCACGTGACGTGAGTTTGACATGTCTGTACTAAATGAATGGTTGTAAGTCGAGGACTACCTGTACGCGTTCTCATTTGTCTCATAGTACATCCAGGATCCAAGAAAGTGTAATTAGATTCCCTCACCCTACCTCCAAAAGCCATTCCCTGTGCCACAACAATTGACTTTAAAAACTTGATGTCGAGGTCAGTTCTTTGGGAGAGGAAGTCAGTAATTTCATTGCATTAGCATAAATCCCTTGAGTGTAGCCTTATAATCAGTTCTTCATCTCCTGACCATTGTGAAATATTGCTATTTTTGGACTGTGAAGGATTATTGTAAAGTTATATAACTACTTAAATTTTCTAGTATGCTTCCTGTTGTTGCTATGTATTAGCCTACAGATGGGGCTATAATGTTTTTAAAAAGTTACTGTCATATACTTCAGAATTATTTCACCAATTGTGTTCTTGTTTTCAAATGTTTATATAGATCAAAATTATAAAATTATTTCTTACTTTATTTTGAGTGGAATGTTGACATATATCTGTTTGGGAAACCACAGACCATTAAAAACTTAATATACCATTGTTTGGCTAAATACGTTGATTTAAAGCTATTCCACAGTTACTAATAAAAACCTACTTGGTGTTATTGATTATCCATAGTTAACATGCAAAAGCATACTCACCCCTGGACTGATTGCATGTCTCTGTGACTCCCTGTATTAAAAATAATTTCTTTTGACAAATTTGAATGTGTATATACTACTTATCTACAATTGTTTACAGAGTCAAAATAAGAAAATAAGAGATTTGGACACCCAGTTGATTCACTTCTAGATTTCTTTATTATAAAATTGTTAGTAAGGCCTATAAAGGTGATTGACTCATGTGAGCTTCAGATAGCCAGGCAAAGATAATTTTCATTGGATATTATAACCTTTCAAGGTAGAAAAGCTTTTCTCTCTACTTTCAATATTTGAGCATTTGAAAATAAAGACAGTTCACTCTTACAAAATAGAAGGTTTGTTGTGTAAAAAAAACCCCTCTAAATCATTGTTTCTCAAACTTTTTAAGATGTTAAAATGGCTGACTAGGGAATTCTGGGAGTTGAGGTCCATCCACCTTAAAGTTGCCGAGTTTAAGAAACACTATTTTAAATGCTTCTAGCTAGCAATTTCAACTGTCAGAAACACTGTTAACAAAAAGAAGTTACATGGAACATTTGAAAAACTGAAAAACCAAAAAACCAAAACAAATCTTTCTTAGAATGGCTTCCAAACTAGTTAAGATCTACAAAACAGAATCAACAAAGCCTGCAAACAATTGCTGAAAAGTGAAGCTGTCATTTGAATAGTTTTCCACAGGTCCACTGAACAGTGTGGCTAATAGAATTGTGATCTGCATGGGAGAGTTGTCAGGGGAAAACATTTTCTTTGCATGCATCATATAAGTTGCAGTTCAAAATATGCAAACGATCAGTGTGAAATTTTTTGAGCAAAATGCTCTGGATTGATTAAACAAAAACAACCCTTTTAGCATAGTAACAGTTTTGGAGAAAAAGATATTTGGGGGGAAAAACCACCTTGCCATCCATTAAGCACAGAAGTGGCCTTATTAAGTTTTTTTTAAGTTAAATGGATATAAGTAGTACAGGAAATACTATACAAATGAAAGCAACAATGGGTTTAAGTAAAAAGCAAAATGTTATAGAAGAAAATGTTCCAATTAGTGAACAAATTGAAGCTGAAAAGCGATTGGATATGTCAACACCAGTGATCCAAAATTTACCTCCAAATCAACCATGAAAATACTTACAGAAAAGAATGCTATAGATTTTGGTACGGACTTCAAGTCTTGGATATTATTGGTATAGACCAGAGTTGAATATTACTGAAAATTTTGAGGGAGATTTCAAAGATGCAGTGTGTGCAAGGAGTTCTGGGGAATTCATTAAAATGTTGCAAGGAAGATTGGGAAGAAATTGCAGAAGCAAAAATAAGCTAATTACAAAAAAGATTTAGAAGCAGTTATTTTTGCCAAAGGGGATGTAACAAAGTACTGATGCAAATGGTGTCCAAACTTCTTCACTTACTACTTCCATTTTTCTTATTTTATAAACAATTGAACATGAATAGTACATATACGTTCATATTTGCAGAAATCTTTCCATGCAATTATATCACAAATCAAGCTAAATATGTGCAAATAAAAATTGTAATCTTTTTAATGGTTTGTATAGGTAGTCTTCAACTTACGATTGTAATTGAGCCTGGAATTACGGTTGTAAGTTGAAGCATCATGTGACTGGACCCAATTTTTGGACATATGCAACAGTTATTAAATGCATCTATTTTCCCCAATGGGCTTTTTTTATCGGAAATCAGAAGTTAATGTCAGAAACCAGCAAAAGATGTAGCAATTGCAGACATGTGCTCAAGAGGCACTGCAAATGACTGTAAAGAAGAGCTGATTGCCAAGCACCCAAAATATGTTCATGTGACCACAGGGATGTATGTGAGGCCGTTGTAATTTTGAAAATGGGTCATAAGTAGCTCTGGGGTGGCCCATTGTAACTGGACGTACACACAGACATACACACACATAAGGAATCTCTAATAGGTAATCTCAGAAATAGCATAAACTGACATCTTAGAGGACCAGCTACCATGTAATAGAAACATTACTGGGAAAGATTATTTTTAAAATTATTTTTTATAATTTGTTTTGATTTTTTTGAATATTGAAGCAGAAAAGCAGAAATTATTTTGGATTAGTTATTAATATTCTGAAAACTATGAAATGTGCAGCTTTGGTTATTGACAGAAAGTAGATTTAAATAGGTCTTATTCAAATATTATTTAAGCTGTATTGAGGGTATTGTAATTAAACAGTTTCTTGGTGGATAGTACATTTTATATAGTGAGAGCATTTGTAAGAATTTGAGTTTGATATAACTTCCGTTATTTCATAATTCTTTTTTTCCAAGTTGGTTTGCATTGAACTGTATTAAATGATTTTTTTTTTGATATTTTAGTTTATTAAAACAAAGGCTTTAGTTTATAAAATAATCTCCAATCATGTTGGAATTAGAATTTCATTGATTAAAATACTAATTGAATGTATCAGTAACAAAGTTCTCTGTTTTCCTCTGGTAATTCCAAACATCAACATCTCAGTATTCAGGGGCACTAGAATGCTGTTGTTTTTATATAATGATTTAATAGATATATTATAGGCTTCTATATGTTTCTGAATTAAAGATATACAGAATCAGGGATATTCTGAAAATTTAAAACATCCATGAGTTGCATTTCTGTTCAAATTTGCTAGGGTAAAACGATAAAGTAATGAAAAAGGCAAAACTTTTGAAACCTTTAACTCTCTTTGATTCAACTAAATGTTACAATGTTTTCTAATTGTGATTGAACTGAATTTACAAGAAGATACTTCTGATTCCCAGAGATCATAAAGAAGCAGGGTGAAGGAGTACCAGACTTAGTCCACGTCATGCGTACATTGCAAACAGAGAGCATCCCAAATCTTCCACCCGGGGGTGAATTGGCGAGCAAGTAAGTTTTTACCAGTGTAAATATGCTTTTGAGTTTAAATAAAGTATACCTTTCATAAACACTGTCATAAGGGTGATAAAGTAATTTCAATAACATTCATTAATAATCCCACTCTCTTTTAAATGATGAAAACAGGCAAAACTAATAGAAATTGTATAATGTTTCATGCTCAAAATGCATCCTTTTATTGAGTTTGAAATTAGCATGAAACAATTATTTTGAGTATGAGGCTAGAGTATTTCAAATATTTTGGGTGTGTTTAAAGCTTGAAGCAATATATTTCTAATTTGAGGCACATTTCTTTCAAGGTTAAAGCATTTTCCCAACCCTCAAAATGACCTGGTTTTTTTTTACTTGAAATTGGATTTTGAAACTGAACTAGATTGTGTTGATTTAAAATGGATTGAATTCAGATCATTGTTCACTTTCCTGCTCTGTTGCATACTAAATGCTAAAAATAAAAGGCATCAGTGCCAGCTGATAAATTGATTTTTAGAGAAATATCCTAACATTTAAATATGTTTGTTATTTGATGATTTAATAATGTTAAAATTTAATTTACAAATGGTCTTATTCCAGATAAAATGGATTAATGGCTTCCAAGATTTTATTGTCCAGGGAATATAACTTTAAAAGAAAATACTTTCTGCTACTTGTGATGTTTACATCAAAACGTGGTATGAAGTTAAAACATTGTCTACCAGACAGTTAGTAGAACCTTTGGCATTATATGACCTGAATTAGTTATATGTTTATTTCTGAGTTCAGTTAGTGTGCTGCACGAAGATAATTTAATATCCTGCTTAAGCTAGTTTGCTTGCTCCTCCCATTACTTTTAGCTCCACAGTTTCTTTTTTTCTTTTTTTTGTTTTTTTAAGATCATGTTCTTATTTTATTTTAGTAATCTGAAATTTTTGATGCCAGCTTGAATTCCATTTGGCTCAAATATGTACAATTTGTTAATAAAACTAGACATACTGGTAATGATAATGATCAGGGGCATCTTTTACAATATATTTAAAAACTTTTAAAAATTGTGTTTGATTAACTAGGAATTGCTGTCCTTTAAAATTTGTTTTATTTTGTTTTTTCTTTACCTGATTTAGACGGAGTGTGATTGAAGCCATTTATAACAGACTGAATCCTTATCGGAATGATGAAGCTGTGAGTATTGGCACCACCTAGTTGTTTTATTTTATTAATTCTGACTGAAAAATTACTTGTCAGTCTTTAATTTTACTTTAAATTTTAGTATAAATCATATTCACTAAAACATTCTTTTCACTATGCTTAACCTTAATAAAGTACCAAACTGAAATATCTTGGAAGATTCTATTGCTTTTAGGTTAAATGACCAGCTCTAATTCATTGACAAAAAATACTGTGCTTTGAAGTTATTTATTTAAGGGTGATGTTTGCTCTCAACAACTTTCTCTCATATGTTTTGTTAAATATATAATTTGACCCAGAGTATAGAAAAGAAAATCAAAATTCCAAAATTATGGACATATCTACTACCCTTTTCAGTCTGGATTATCCAGAAATTGCTGTAATTTTGGGCGCTCCAGACTTTAAAGGGTTTGTTCTCTTTTCTTAAAGGACTCTGCATCAACTGATGATATGTGGTAAAATGCCATCTAAGCTGTGGAATTAGCACCGATTCTCCTAATGGGAAACTTACCCAACCAACAACGATCCTTCTTAGCATCAGTTTCACATATGTTTGAAGGGAAGTAATGTTGGTATTAGTGAATACATCAGAAAACAGCAGTTCAACACTTATCCCAGGAATTATTATTATTATTTTTTTGTGAAGCAAACTTCTGTAAAAGTGATACTGAAACTATGATGCTGTAAATTGGACTCCAAGCAATTTTATGTTGTATGATTTTGTTTTGTAAAGTGCAGTTGTGGTTGTCCAGAATGCTTATTCATAATGAGCTGTTTTACATCGTAAATGAAAGGCTTGGTTTGTTGTTTAACACAACAGTACTCTAGCTCTTTCTATTTGTTTTTGTGGTTCTGGATTGCTGGGAGTAGCAAAATACTCAGCAAAATACTCAGGAGGTGCATGAAAATTTTGTAAAGGAAATTTGATATAAAGGCAGATTATTGTAACTGTAGTATGGAAAATAACTGGAACACAGTTAATTTTCCTTCAGACTTTAATTCTTTTTTGATCTTAAAATTATGGCAGATCTAAAGTCCCACTGAAATATGTGAAAGATTTCAGCAAAAGAAGAAAAGTTCATCAACTTTACAAGATGGCTATTAAATAGATCCTGGGAGCTAAAAACTTTGATGAATTGCACCTTTTTTAGAGAAAAACTTTACCTTCGATTAAGTAACAGTTATGTTAAGAAATGGTATCTTTCTATATTTAGTAGGAGCATGCACCATTTTATTAGCCCGATTGGCTGGATTGGCTGCTGTTCCAAGTAAAAATTCTTTTTAATTCCATTTTATCAATAAAGCTTGATTTAACAAGAAATTTAACAAGAAATGTGTAACTCATTCTCTTTCCTGTTGTCTTCTGAAATGTTCATAAATAAAGTGTCATGTTGATAAATATTTTTATTAAACAATTGCCCATTTATGAAATGGGAAGAACTCTTGATTGTGCCCAAGGCACAATGGAGTTTATTTTCTAATTAATGGGCATAATATGCTTTGAGAAACAGAATGATCTTGTTACATGAGTTTTATTTCAAGATTTTAGTTTGATAGCATTATATGAGCATACTGTATACATGCTTCTTAACGAAATTAATTTGTCAGAGCCTGACAATCTTATTTTGACTGAACAGTAGGTGTGATTTGAAGTGCATAGATTCAGAATATTGAATCATTGAGTTTAATTTGCTTTTTTAAAAAAAATGAAATAATAAAACTAATTTGACTTGAATTTTCCTCTACTGAAAACAAGATAAATTGATTATGTGTTTGCAGAACTACTGTTTTATGCACCTTGTATTTTCTTTTTGTTTTTTTCAGTTGAGGGTATTGTATGATCATTATGTATTTCTGTAAATTTTCAGCCAACTGATGCCCCTCCAAAGGAAAACCAACAATATATAAATAGATAGTAACAATGTAGCTAGCATTTTTTAAAAGGTGTAAAACATACCTTTTTATAGGAAGCAATGTACAACTCACATGTTTATATCCCTCTTTCCTTAATTTTCAGATATACATTTGTTTGTATATAGAGCCTTAAAACTATTGCAGTTAGGAAATGTTGAAAAAGTAATGTCTAAGGATTGTTATTATTATAATCACAAATATTTTATTTCTCTTGTTTGGTTGTTTAACATCACTGTGTTCAGTTTCTACCCTTTTGAAGCATGAATGAAGAAAACATAAGCACTATTTGTATTTATAAATTTAGAGCAGCTTTAGGTAAAGCAGCAGTCACTCACCCTACCTACATTAAATGCCTAAAATACAGTTTTGTTGAGTTCAGGCAATAAAATTGTTAAGTATAACTTCGTATACACCTAATTAAGAGGCTATATTTGAACTACTAATCAATTAACAAGAATGGATTGGTTTTAGAGTTAGAAACAGAACTCAGCATTATTTTTTGTGTATATTGAAGTATACACATATATAAAGGTGGCAAAAACTCAGACAGAAACAAGTTTTTAAAATTTTCAAATGGAAAGCCATATGATTAATATTATCAATTGTAATATAACAGCACTTGTTTAAAATTTGTGCAACGTCTTAAAGATAAGAACAGTTATTCTGCTATTACTTATAATCATTCTTAAAAGTAAGATTTGGGTAGAAAAGAGGTACAGCAGTTGTACATTAGCCTATCTATGTTTGGCTCTTTACTAGAGTCAAGGCACTGTGTTACTAGGCTTATGAATACATGGCAATTTTATGTATTAATCAAAGTGAAATTAAATTCATATAATCCATGAATTACAAATTTTAATAAGGATGCTTTTTCTTGTTCACCAAACTGCAAAAAAAAAAAACACGTGGTTTTTTTTTTTCATTTTTGCAACTTTTTTAAATGCTAGAAATGTCTGAACACCTCAGGGGCAGTCCAGCATAGTTTAAAGAATTGTGTGCTACAGTATTTATTTCCCTAGTCAGAGGTGAAAGAGTGGATGCCTGTCTGCTGATGAAATAAAATAAAACAATGGTCCCAAATTTTGTTTTTTCTTTCTGTGCATGTTGTTCTTTATACAATATTTTTCACAGCATTAAATTTCTGGTATAGTTTAAATGGAGACATTTGAGAATTGGTAAATTTAAGATAATTTAAGACAATTCTGTATTAAGTAGCTTTAAACATTGATACTCTCTCATTCATTTTGGGGGAGAGAGGCGTGTTTGGGTTTGTTTTAAAAAAAGTCATCATTAATAAAGTAAGTATGATTTGGTTCCACACTATTAAGTATCCCCATGTTTCTCCTTATCTCAGCATAATCCAGGAAACATACTTCTAGGGCAAGGGTGTCAATCTGGTAGCCTACAGGCCAGATGCGTCACTCGTAGGCCACACCCACACCGGCTTCACAAAGGCAAAAAACATCTCAATACGTCATGACACCCATGTTCTAGGAAAACTAAACCAGGAATTGAGACCTTCCCTTTTCATCACGGGTCACTTGCAAACTTCCCTGGTTTTTCATGATTGCCCTCAAATAAAACAAGGATTAGGAATGCAGCCTTTTGCTTAACTCAGTATCTCTGGTTATTTCAGCAGCTGTCAGCACTCTACTGAGGTGGCCCATTGTCTGTAAATGGGAGACAGGGAAGTGTAATAAATGAAATTTCACTTTCTTTGTAATAGTTTATTTTTCTTTTTCCCCATGGGGAAAAAGAAAAGTTGTGGCTTTCCAACAATATATTCCTGGCAAAAATCATATAAGAAAAGCAGATCATATGCCTTGTCATGTCAAGAGGTACAAAAGCCATAACAACAACTACACAAATATCACCACAAACCCTCATTTCACTGAAGGGAGATCTCCTCAAACAACCTAGCCCAGGTTTGAGGAAACAACCAACTTGAATATGATGCCCACTCCAAACCAATGGCTGACCACCATCAACAGTCTCAGTTGTTAAACAGAAGGGGTGAGAACATCAAACCTTGAGGCTCTTTACAAGCTTTCGGGCTTGGACTTGACTTCTTCCCCCATTAATATTGAATGGAATCAGCTACACTGAAGGAAATCACCAGAACACCTTCTCTCCACTGACCCTGCAGTCAGTCTGGAAGCATTACCTTTGTTGCTGATTTTGAAAGTTGCTGAGAGATCCAGAGCATCTAATGGTTGCGTCATTCCCATTCTCCTCCTACCTGAAGTCATTGGTAAGTGCTATTCATGCAGTATCAATACTATGTCCTGTCCTAAAATCCAACTGAAAAGAGTCTATATAATCTAAGTTTGATCCAGACAGGTTGGAAAACTCAATGAACATTATCAAGACAAAATTACTAGTTTGGTATAATACACCAGAAGGATGCTAGGGATGTTGCATATCTTGATCTCAATAAAGTATTATGACAGTCTTCTGTGATATCTTTGTAGACAAGATGGACTGATGGGTAAATCACAGATTCATGATGCTTGAACAAATGCATTCAAAACATTTCATAAAGGGTTCTGCATCAACATGGAGGAGGATATTGAATTGGGTCCTCAATTCCATCTTTTACCTTATTCTCTTCAACATTTTGGTATGTGGTCTAAAGGCTGGTACATGGTTAGGGTGACTAGAGAACAAAATTACAATTCAAAAAGATCTCAACAGGTATATATATATATATATATATATATATATATATATATATATATATATATATATATATATATGTTTTCTGAGGTTTTCGCGGGTGTTTATGTAGGTCTTTGGTTGTTCGGGTTTTCTCCCGCGTAAAATTGGAAGTGTCTTGGCGACGTTTCGACGAAGTCCCATTCGTCATCTTCAGGCTGGTGTTTTCAGCTTCGTGCTTCGAGCAGCAATGTGTGGTCTTAGCTGTTTCTTCCTTTTAACTGCCAGTGGGGGTATGAACTGATTGGGTGGGAGCTTGGCTGTGTTCTGATTGGGTGGAGGTGTGTTCTGATTGGTTAGGGGCGTGGCTGTGCTCTGATTGGCTGGGGGTTGGCTTAATACAAAATACAAAAAATGATACCAGACCCACACTCACAAAAACCACACAGGATGTCACCACCACACATCCACGCAAAAAGCAAACCCAAAGCCACACCGATGATGAGGCACGACCACAAACCAGAAGCCAGACCAGAGCTGCATCATTAGCCACTTTAAAGCCCTCCAATCCATACATGAAGCAAACTGACACCCTCCATGAAAATGAGGCACGACCACAAACGCGAAGCCAAAAAATAGCAAGGCAGCCCAAAATCTTAAACCCCTCTGCAACTCAGACTAACCTGAGCACAACCAAACAGAACACTCCCCCAGCCAATCAGAGCACAGCCAACCCCCCAGCCAATCAGAGCACAGCCAACCCCCAGCCAATCAGAGCACAGCCAAGCCCCTAACCAATCAGAACACACCTCCACCCAATCAGAACACAGCCAAGCTCCCACCCAATCAGTTCATACCCCCACTGGCAGTTAAAAGGAAGAAACAGCTAAGACCACACATTGCTGCTCGAAGCACGAAGCTGAAAACACCAGCCTGAAGATGACGAATGGGACTTCGTCGAAACGTCGCCAAGACACTTCCAATTTTACGCGGGAGAAAACCCGAACAACCAAAGACCTACATATATATATATATATATATATATATATATATATATATATATATATATATAAATAAATAAAAAAACTATACTCAACTGTTATGATGTTCCATGATGCCTAGTCATGGCTATAGAAAATCATACATATAGATACAATATTATGGAGATGTAACTTGGCAGCAATGTATGTAAACAAGATCAAGGAATATTGGATATCAGCTAAACATGAGTAAGCAATTTAGATGCAGCAGCTAAAAGTGGAGTGCATTGAAAGACGCATTATAATATGCAAACTAAAGAGATATTAGTTTCATTGTATCCTGCATAGTTAGACTGCATTTGGAGTACTGGGTCTAGTTCTGGGCACCAGATTTTAAAAAAGAACATGGTAAAGCTGGAGGAAGTTCAGAGAAGAACTACAACAGTTTTGGGATGTCTGAAAATCAAATCCTGTGAGCAAAACGCTTGGCACATTTAGCTTATAGAAGGAAAACTAAGGGATGATATAAAATTCTATAAATATCCAAAAAGTTGTTACATCCAAAAAGGGATCTGGCTGGTCTCCGTTGAAACAATAGGGCAGGGTTCAGTGGGTTTTAACATGAAAGAAAGTTGGTGCAGAATATCAGAAGTAGTTTCCTGATAATAAAAATTGTTAAGCAGTGGAACCATCTGCCTGCAATAGTAATGGACATGCTGTTTCTGAGTGGCTTAAATGGGAAGTGAATGGCCATATTCCAGGAATAGGAAGAAATAATTTAGAATCATAATTGGAAAGGCCATCTAGATCAGGGCTTTTCAACCAGCCCCCTTCCTCGGCTGGGTGAGGCTGGAGCACTCAGCCTTTAGTCAGGGCTGCAGGCTTGGCAGCAGGTGGGAGCACCGGGGGAGCGCTGCTTTGCAGGATGAAGTGGAAGCTATGGCAAGGAGCTGCAACTATGTGCCCAGGGGGCAAGGAGAAGGAATCGGAGGGGTGTTTTTGGCCCGCTGGATTCAGGTTTTTCCTTTGGGGGCATATGGCCTGACTCTCACTGAAATGCAAATCCCTCTCTAAGCAGGGATTGGGAGGCTGAAGGCCTCTATCTTTGTGGCCATGCAGTTCTAAAATCGATGGGCTGCTGCTGGGGAGGAGAATCAAAATAGGGCAAAACAAGCATAATCCACCAAGGTTTATTGATTGCAAAGTTTTCCTCGGGTTTTCTTATCCCTTCCTGGGCTATTAAAATCACATTGGCAAGGTCTGTACTGAACACCTGGCTGCAAACTAAACCGGATTTTAGCCTTGCCCCTTGTGCAATCCCAGGCCACATTCTGGAGGTAAGAGGATGTAGTAACAGAAGAGAGATGCAAAATTGATTCGTTGTTTATTCTTTTATTTAGCAGCAATAATTATGTTCTTTGACAACTTTGCTAGCAAACTGCAGGCTGTGAACTTTTCCCCTTGGGGAAAGAATACAGAAGGGCTAGATTTATTTTCCTGCTAATTACTGTATACCTTGTTGGTTTTTTAAGGAGCTTATGAGAAAAAGATGTGTCTGAAAATTAAAGGATGTATCGATTGAGTTGTGAGACAGGAAAGGGAAATACATGGATGTATGCACTTCCAGTTACTGACAGGTGTGCCACTAATATTCTGATTTGATACATGCATGCTCTCAGGGCTGAAAGATTATCTTCATTCTTCATAGGGCGGTATTGTGGATTAAGTAGATTTTTCTGGATTCTGATTTTAAGGTGAGTGTCCTGAGCTACGGAGGCCTTTGATCTTCTTAAATGCATAGTAATACAATAATGAGAACTAAAGGCTGAAAGGGAACGCAGATTAGAACGAGACCTTTTGGGGTCTTCAATTCCCTTGTTAAGAGTTCCTTAATAAGGTTTGCTCTTCCTTCCTAACATCAGTAAAGGTGGTTTTTCCAGAAAATATGTGAAGAGCTGTAATTAGTGATTTAACTATGTTTTCTTTTTGGCTGTGTTTTAATTTATATACCATGTTTAATCAAGGAGGGCTTGCAGAGGTAGAAGTGGCCAATATGGAGGCTGCACCTTGCCCTCCAGATCTCTGTCTCCCCTGCAGATCTCTGGAGAAGAGGGGGTGGCAGGCGAACTATGAGGGAAGGCTGCCCCAACAAGCCTTTTGAGAAGGAGTGCTCCCCTGCCTCCTCTTGCTCTCCAGAGATCTGTCAAGACAAAAGTTGGACTCGGAGGAAACTGCTTCTTGCAAACGTCCTCCACCTCCTGCTTTGCCGGAAGAGGGCACCAGACAGGGAAACACCAACGATGTCTGGGATTGGGGAAAAGAAGAACATCTCTTTAGCATGCTACACACACACAAACACACACATACACACAAATATTCCAAGCTTGGAGACGTGGATCCACATCTGAGCTAGCAAATTGGCAATCATGCCTGGGCTTGGGGATA